GATTATTCAAATTTATTAATATGTTCTTAGAGAAAATTAAAAAAACATTTTTTATTTTTGTTTGAATCTCTTGATTATTATCTTGAATTAGAACAAAGTTATTTCTAAACTATTTAACTTCTTCAATTAATTATGTCAATTGCTGCTTCTATTTTTTAATTTTTTTCTTTTATATTTTTACAACATTAATGATGATATATAAATTTGTTTTCCAGTTTGAATCCAAACAATTAAGAACATTGTTTTCGATATTATGTTAATCATTAGCAACAATTTATTAATTATTCATCTAATAAGATTAATAATATCTTTTTTCATCCTCTTTTTTTTTATCACAAATATATCTTTGAAATTCTTCTTGCTATTTTAGTAAATTGTTTAACAATTCTAAGATAATTGCTTAATAAATTTATAAATTTTAATTGTAGGAATTCTTCAATACTTTAACAACTTTATCGATTTGATTGATGAATTATTTGAAATGTTCTATATTATTACAATTGTTATTTTTCTCAAAAATCCTTAATTGTTACCAAACTTTCTCATATTTCTATAATCAATTATGATTGATTAAATTTTTCATTAGCCACATTTTTTATTGATTCATCAATTGATATATCTCCAATCATCTTCATTATTCTTTCTATTAGTTAAATTGACCTAAATTCTTCTATCAATAATTCTTCGAATTCCTTCTGAATCAACTCTAAATCTTTTTTTTCTGACTGAATAATTTATTCATCTATTATGCTTAATTTAAATATTAAATATTCTATTGTTCCTTGATACTTAGATAAATTATTTTGCAGGCCTTCTTCAGGGACTTTCATTGTTATTAATTCAGGTAATATATATTTTTAATATTAGTTGTGACAGGCGATTAATTTTTATGGATAATGTATAATTATATCATGTAAAAACTCATCCAACTTGATAACATCTTTTAATTATTAAAATTCTTCTGATGATAATTTAAGCTTTTACATGTTCAACCTTTATTTTTGCATACATTAAAATGAAAGCTTGTAAGAACATTGTAATTTAATTTCTTTTAATTTTTCAGGTTATGAAACAGACTCTATTTCATCTTGTAAAATTAGAATCGCTTTAAAACTTTCAATAAATTCATCAAAGTTTTTTTTGAAGTTTTTAGATCTGGTGTTTATAATAGAAATTTAGGTTATTCAATAAATTTTGAAAATACTGAATTAAGTTCTCCTTTTGAATTAACAAGACTTCTAGCTCTGAGGCTTTTTTTTCAGTTTATAGAATTAGTTTTAAAACACATTCAGCTTCTTTCTAAAAACTTCTCTTGTTAAGAGTTGCGCTAGATAAGGCAAGTAGCTTCTACTTAAGCTTATTCACAACAGAAAATTCTTTATTTTTTAGATTTAAATTTGATAATTTCTTCTAAATCTTTTCTATCTCTTATTAAAGCATTATGCCTTCATAAGGTTCATTTCGATTATCATTAATATCTTAAATTGCTTCTTATATAATTTATTCTAATAGTCTCATAAGATATTTAAGTTATTAAAACAAATTGATTTCATTCAATTTTTTCTATTCAAGTTATTCTTTCTCACAATATTATTTCCTTTCGCTAAGCCTCATAATTTTAATGATTTTTACAATGTTTTGGAAATATTCTTTGAAATTGAAAACTATATTTTTAAATTAGGCATTATATGTGGCTTATTCTATTGTGATATTAAAATACTTATTTTTTCGAAAAATTTTTTATAATTTTTAACTATGACTCCCAATCTTTCATCATTATCTTGAATTAAAACAAGTAATTTATTCGAAATGATGAAATCAAAAAATTGTTAAATTTTGCAAATTGTCTGGGGATTTACGTTTTTTTTTTAAAGATCCATGCTTCCTAATTTAAATTGTAGATAAGAACCAAATGTGAAATGGATTTTATCATTTTTTTCATTCATTAAGAAGTCTTTTAGTACCATGAGGTTTTCCCGTTCTTTGAAGGTGTTTTAGTATTAATTTATCAATTTAAGTTAACTCTTTATTTTTAAATTAATTAAGTAAAATTAAAGCCTAGTCATTGCTATGATTCATTTAAAGTAGAAACCCTTTGTTCAAATATTCCTTCCATATATATATTGATTTGGCTTCAAGATTGAATGAGCTAGTTAACTATTTTAATTTTTTTTTGTAATTAGAGGATTGTATACTAAAATTTTCCCAATCATTTAAATCCACAAAAAATGATTCATCCAATTGTTTGAATTTTTAACAAGTTTTTCATGCGTTTTTTCAATATGAAAGATTATTTCTTCCAAATTTTGTTAAAGGTCATTTTTAAATAATTAATGATTTCCCATTATGTATGTTGTGAATTTGGCAGGCTGCCTTAAATAAGGATTCAAGTAATTCAGCATTAAGTTTTAATTGTATTAACGATCCAAATATACCACTTACAAATCCTTTTACAATATCCTCCCTTTCGTGATTATTATTTGAAGCTATCTCGAAAGAAGTTTTTTTAAGAAAAGATAAACTTCCATTTAAATCTAAATCAAATCATTCTTCTCTATTTCTATTTATTACTTTAAGTCATCAGAAATGTCTAAAAATTACTTTTATAAATCAAAATTCATAATTCTATCGCTATTTATTGCATGGAAACTAAATATGGCTTTAGATAGAGATGCTGTAATCTATAGGATATATAAACATTTAAACTAGTCTGTTCTAATATAGATCGAGCAACTTTTCAATAATTTTCGGATTCCCTCTACAATCAGGTTGTATGATTTCACGATATAAGGGATTCTTATTGAGTTTGTATATGTTTTCCTCTTAAAAAATAAACCATTGTATGGCTATCATTATTTTTGAAAATTCTATTGAATTGATAGCAACATCAGCTTTAGCACAAATTATTTCAACAACAGAATTAAACTTGGTGATGAAATTGTCTAAATCTTAAATATCTGACTCTAAGTTTCCATATGTTCTTGGATTCATTCTAAAAGATCCACAACCACCTCCCCTTAATGAAGATGATGTCGTATTGACTAAGGCTAACATTTTTTTTTATAAAATTTAAATATAAATCCATACCGGAATAAAAATGTATATAAACTTATATTAATTAATACTTATAAAAAATTTCGTATTATAAACCACAATTAGTTAATAAATCAACTTGTTTCGGAAATGTTTTATTTATTTTTCTAAACTAAAGTGTTGTTTAAATCAACAACAAATACTCTGCTAAGAAAATCATACTAAATTTTTGAAGCGTTGTATTGAGTTATTATTTATCCTTTAGAATAGCATTCTAAAATAAAAGATTAGCCAATTCACAGAAGTTAAGTTAATATTGATTTTAATTTACACAATGTAATATTAAATGTAGTAGAATAATTTGATTGATATATATTATTAATAATTATGAATACTTCTCTCCAGTATTTAAGAAAAATTATTTATTATTATATAGATAATCAATAATGATATAGAAGATTTTGAAACTTATTTTATTAATGATACCACTAATATATGGCAATAAGTTCGATGAAGGAATTTATTAAGGACTATGTTAATTATAAAATGAGAACTTTTATTGCTGGAATCAAATTCCGTACACATTCATAATTCCCTTTAATTATCCTTTTGAAACCATTCCTTAAGTTTTTATTACCTTAGATCTCATCGGTGTTTTTGTGAAAACTGACTTTAGAATATAAATCTAAGATGTTACTATTTCAAGTAAATTATAAGATTGATATATAAAAGATTTTAGCTTATTGGTAGTTTGTTTAACTGGTAGGGCACATTGTATTAGAATAAAATGGTATGCAATTGATGATTAAAGATTTTAAATAATCAATGCTTTTAACACAATAAATTTAACTGAAATAACCTATCAACATAAGAATAAAAACGTGAATACAGGTTTCATCACTTTAATAAGCCATAATTTTGATGAAATCAATTTTAAACTCAAAGTATTTCTTTATTGTAAATGTGAGATCATTGAGATTACAAGTGAAAATGTTACTGTTTCTTTGACAAAAGTGCCGGAAGATTTTAAACAGTAGGTTTAAGTTGGATTTCAAATTATTTTAGGACCAAAAGAAGCTTTTTAAAATTTTCTTACTATCGATTCTATAAAAGACTATTCAAACAATATTGAAGAGATATAAAATGCATGGTTTATAACACCATTTACTGGAATGGGATATCCTTATACGGATGCTGTCAGATTGGAGAAAAAATAATAGTCTTAAGGGAATTCATCATATTAATATATTTTGTCCACTTGTAAAATATTGTCCAAAATTTAGGGGACATTTTTTTTCCTCCTTGTTCTCATTCTCATGGATTTCTCTTTCACAATTTAACTACAAAGTTCTACTCCTTAAATTTG